CCGCGTGAGTCGCAAGTCACACCGCCACCAGCGTCGGCGACAGACGGAAACAACAATGTGAGGACGGCCCACAAGACTCCACCACCAACAAGTGAGGCGGCAATTTGTTGCGGGACATCGCCGGCGGAGCGTGAGGAGGGAGATATCCGGGACGGTATTGGAGTTGAGGTGAATGCCGTACATCCGTGTGCTCCCGTAAATGTCCGCGGTGTAATGGCTCGGCGACACGCACAGGCGTCCATTGTGGCACCCCGTGAGGAAGGCGGGACGTCTTCGGCCTCTGCCGATGGAAGGGGGGGTGGGCGACGGGGTCGCGAGCGGTCAGCCGTCGCGCCGTCAACCGGCGCCTGCTCCTGCAGCGATGCGGGTCAGGCGCGGTTGGCTGTGCGCGAGCTGGCCGCTCAGGCGCCGGCGGTCGCTACGCGCGCCGAACTGGAGGCGTTCGCGGCGGAAGTCGCGGCGTTCTTCGGGGAGGTCGTTGCGGACAGGGCTCGCGGCGCCGCCGCCAGCTCCCAAGACCGTCCGGCTCGATCGCGTGAGGCAGGGTCGCGTCGAGGAGCGAGGGGGGTGTCGATCCGGAGGGAGAGGGCATCAGTAGCGAGGGATCGGCCCCTCCGCGTCGGGAGAGGCACGCGTGGACTGGGTGCGTGAGGCCAAGCGCTTGCAGGCGCTCTATAGGGCGAATCGCCGCAAGGCGGTGCGAGAAGTGCTCCAGGGGCCTGGTGACTCGTGCCAGGTGCCGAGACGTCAGGTTCAGGAGTACTTCGAGCGCCTGTACCGCGGCGAGAAGATCCTGGTGGGCTCCGGCGTGGAAGCGCACTGACCTCTCAGGTTCGCAGGAGGAGTTCGCGTATCTCCTGAATCCCTTCACGGAGCGAGAGGTGGACCGTTGGCTCCAGCGTATGAATAACTCTGCGCCGGATCCCGACGGCGTCACCTACCGTGACCTCCGTGGAGCAGATCCGGGAACGTGGTTGCTCCTCACAGCAATGTGTAATTGCTGCTTGCGGCTCGAGGCAGTCCCATGAAATGGAAGACTTCCAGTACAATACTTGTGTACAAAAAAGGAGACCGGGGCATGCTGGAGAACTGGCGCCCTCTCACTTTGGGGGACACCGTCTCCAAACTCTTCGCCGCGATTCTTGTCAATCGTCTGACCGACTGGGCGGTTACCAACTGCCGGCTTAGTCCCGCCCAGAAAGGCTTTTTGAGGGACGAGGGATGCTTCGAGCACAATTTCGTCCTTCAGGAGGCCCTGACTGACGCGAGGAGGAGCCGGAGGCAGGCGGTCGTCGCGTGGCTGGACCTGTCCGACGCGTTTGGATCGATCCCGCACGCGACGATCCGCCGTGCTCTGGCTGGAGCGGCGGTGCCTAAGGATCTCATAAATATATAGGGCTCGATGTACGATGGCTGCACTACGCGTGTGCGCACCGCCGAGGGATTCACCGCGCCCATCTCCATACGCTCCGGAGTACGCCAGGGTTGTCCGCTAAGCCCAATTATTTTTGACCTCACGATCGACTCAGTGCTGCGTGCAGCCACCGATGTCGACGCGGGGTATAATATGTTCAACAATAAGTTTAGTATCTTGGCTTACGCGGACGACATTGCACTCCTGACAGAGACTCCGGAGAGTATGAAGAGACTGCTTAACGCAGTGGAGACTGAAGCGGCGTCGGTGGGTTTGCGGTTCAACCCTGCCCACTACTCTGCACATTGGTACGAGTGGTTGCGGTAGGGTTCTGCCGATGTCGTTCAGCATCCAGGGCCAACCGGTGCATCATCTGGCAGAGGGTGAGTCTTACACCCACCTCGGTGTTCCGACGAGATTCTCGGTCGACCAGACACCCTACTCCACCATTGGGGACCTCCTCTCGGACGTTCGCGCGGTGAATCGCGCCCTCCTCGCCCCGTAGCAGAAGTGTGATATAGTCGGGACTTTCATCCTACCGCGATTAGATTTTGTGCTGCGGAGAGTGTGGAGAAACGTCCCCTCACGGCCGCAGATCTCTCGATCCAGAGACTCGCGAAATCCTGGCTGAATCTCCCCCAGCGTGCCAATGCGGAGGGGGTCTACATGCCCCCGCGAAGGGGGGGTGTGGACTCCTTCCGTTAGCTGATTTGGCGAACGTCCTTCCGTATGCTTACGGCTGGCGATGCCACCGTCAGGCGTCTCGCCTGGGAATCGCTGACGGGGGTGGTTCAGCGCAGGATCGGCCACGCCCCTAGTTGCGAGAGTATCGCCGCCTTTCTGGCTCGCAGGAGGGAAGGCTGATAGGCGGAGGGGAAAAATTCCTCTGGTCGAGGGCGCGGAATGCCGCGCGAAGGCTGTCCGAGCGGTTGTCTCTGCGGTGGCGGTGGGTGCCGGAGACCGGAGAGATGATCGTCGAGTGCAGAGGGCCCAGAGGTGCCGCGGTTAAGATCCCACTTGGAGCGCGTAACCAGATGGTGAATCGGTTATGCTCAGCTGTAGCCGAGCACTACGCGGAGCGATTGCTCAACAAACCCGACCAAGGTAAGGTCTTCGAGGTGTCGTCGCAAGTGCCAGTGAGCAATCACTTCATTCGCGGCGGCAGCTTTATTCGCTTCGCCGACTGGCGCTTTATACATCAAGCCCGTCTCGATGTCCTTCCCCTCAACGGCGCGCGGCGTTGAGGGGACAGCGACAAGCGCTGTCGGCGATGCGGGGAGGTATCGGAGACCTTACCACTGTGCTCAGTCACTGCGGCGTCCATACTGCCGCAATACAGCTGAGGCACAATGCCGTATTGCCGCCTCTGGAAGGCTTGTCGTCTGCCTGGTGACAAACGGGTCAACCAGCGGATGGAGGGCATCGACGGGGAACTTGGGGAGCTACTACCTGATCTTTTGGTCAGGCACGAGCTCTCCAAGAGTGTCGTCATATGCGATATCACGGTGCCCTTCGAAAACCGCTGGATGTCTTTCAAGGAAGCCAGGGGAAGGAAAGTACTCTCCCCTGGCTGAGGAGCTCCAGCGGCGAGGGTACCGTGTCCTCGTGACGGCCTTCGTCGTCGGTGCTCTTGGGTCGTGAGATTCGAGAAACGAGGCTGTCCTGAGAGTGCTGCGGAGAGTGATCCGTACGCCTCGATGATGCGGCGGTTGATCGTCTCGGATGGTCCAGGGACATCTATGTGGAGCACGTATCCGGCGTCCACCAGTACCAAGCTCCCTCTTACCCCGCTGGCGATGGAATGCTCGCGATGCCGCCTCGGGCCGTCCGCCGACGCTGGGCCGTCGCTGATAAAGAAGTTGCGACGCGCCGCGTATTTCCGTGAGTGTGAATGCCGCGTAATTTATTTTTGTCTTCGTCTTGGCCCCCTTTCTTATCCAAGCGGGCAGGAGCGGCCAATGTCCACATCCTCGTATTGTAATTTTTCTTTTAATTTCTAATTTTAATTTATTATTATTTGTATATATTTTTTTCTTTTCTTTTTTTCTAGTAGTCCTTTTTTATTTTTATTATTTTGTTATTTTATTATTTTCTTATTTTGTCGTGAGACAGGGACAGGGCTCCTGCCCGTCTCTTACTAGCATCAGGACACCCTTTTATTTTGCGTATATTTATCTCGTCAATTTTATTGTCCGGACCATAGTTATTTATTTTCTTTTTACTTGTATTTTTATTTATTTCTATTTATTTCTATTTATTTATTTTTATTTTTATTTTATTTTTATTTATTTATATTTATTGTATTTATTTTCTTTTCTTTTCTGTGGGGCCTTGAATGTTCAAGTGTGCGTGCCGCGTAAATCTTATTGTATTTTAAGCGAGTGTGAATGTGCCACGTTGACTATTGCCTATTTTATTTTATTAATTATTGCCGCGCGCGCCCTCGGGGTCTTTTATCGTATAACGTACCTATCTGTGATATACTCCGAGGACCGCCGATTATCACTTGCGTCATCCCCCCCAGCACGAGAGCTGGGGGAATCATTTAACTTTAATTTGCGCACGCTGGCGGGGAGCGAACCCGCCAGCTACACTAGCTTTAGTGTAGCTGCCCACAAGGCGGGGGGGGGGGGGGCTATATCCCGTACCCATATAATATTTAGTTTGCGCGCAGCCTAGCCGCTTTCTTATGTACCCACCCCGGAGGGTGAGATGCCCTCCGGGGAACATTATTTAAAATAAAAGTATGCTAGCTCACTGCGGTAACACGAAATAAAATTTAATAAGCTGGCCGAAAGATTGAGGGCGCGAAGCTCCGCCTCCAGCCTGACAAGTGCGAATTTCTGCGGAAAGAGGTCACATATCTAGGGCCACGTAATCGGAGAAGACGGGGTGAAGCCCAATCCCAAAAAAATTCACGTCGTTGAAAATTTTCCGCGCCCTCATACCGCGAAAAACATTAAACAATTTCTTGGACTCGCGGGTTATGATCGGAGATTTATATCAAACTTTTCGAAAACAGCTAAACCTCTGACGGTTTTATTTGTCACGTCGCGGGCGGTGGCGATGTTGCCAAGCAAATCATCACGTGGCACCGGACAAAGGCGGGAATACGCTCGCCTCTCGGCGACGCTGCCAGCAATCGAGCGGCAAATCATCAGCAGCGGTTCGGAAGAGTTAAGGAGTATTAACATACGAATCCCTGATCACTAGAATAAACATGCGATTGAGCAGCAGGGAATCTAATTCTTAGTATTAGCGCGATCGCGTCTAGCTATTATTCCTCACGGTTAAGTAACGAGACGGAAAGTTTGTGAGTCGGCGCGAGACAATGACGTCTGAAGCAGCGTTAGTATCGTCAAGATAATATCGAGCGCGGACGTGTTCGATAGCCTCTCCCTCTTCTTCAAGTACTTCTAGGGCAACAACGAAAACCTCGGAACACGCGTCGCAGTGCTCGATTTCGCGGATTAACGAAAGCGAGGTACGACAATACTCGCAGAAATCTTTGGACCCGGTGAATCCGAATTGAAATGAATGAGTTAATTCCAAGCGGTAAGAGAGAGTGCCCTCGGGTATTACTTCCTTACAACGATAATAGAGAAACTTGGCGCTATTAGGATAATTGTCGGCAGCTGAATTATTTACGCGGCGATAACCGAAGGAAGTAATGCAGCGCATTGAACCGACGCGGTGTTGGAATACGGCAGCTGGATGCGTGCGCGAACCGCGGGTGGCATCAGACCGAGGAAAACACATCACACTAATTAATTAATAGTATCCGCGAAGGTAAAACGCGTCCCTGCATGTCGTTGAATAATATTACGGAATATTATCGGAGCTAGAAAGTTTGAAACAGCATTTAAGAGTGCATTTTCCGAGTGAAGTCGTCGGACGGGGCAAAAACTATGCCCAAAAAAACAAAGGGGTCGGTCGTAAACCCTTCCGGTTAGGTGTAACGTCCGGAGAGCCGCCATATATTTTTTTTCCTCTTTTTTTCCTCTTCTTACCGTGCATGTAATATCGCTTTAATATAATTCACCGTTGGGTCCACGATTGAGAACGACCATTGGCTCTCCTGCCGTTCCGCCTAACATAGCGCGCCCCACCATTATTATGCTACATAGATGTAATATTATTTTAACCGCCTTCTTCGATAATTATAAACATTAACATTTAACAACACATATTCGATTATGCCATTTTCCACCATTTTCCATAAACAACAATATTTGTTATAATGCATGAAAAGTTTTATAATTATACTTTAAATATAATGTTCCTTAAAGCTACTTAAATATAATACCTATATTAATAATAAGATTATATTAATGACATCAATATTACAATAACGCCTACATCATTGCTACCGCGCATCATCTCCTGCCAGCCGCGTTCTGATTGACTAATGCATGACATAGACATATACATCTAGCTTAGCTACATAACCCGCGCCACGCCAGCGCCACGTGCGTTGGCGTACCCGCCATCTTGCGTCACAGCGTCGCCGCAGTCGAGCGCTGCAGTGCCCGCCGAAACACCGACACTCTTGTGCGCGTCGTCGAACAGTTGACATCGCAAGCGTCTTGCTCCGATCTCTAGTATGTAATTCAAGTTCAAGTTTATTCAATTTCTAGTTCGTAGCCGTTCTATTTCTACCTCATATTCCGCTACAATTTCTAATTCTAAATAAGCGATTTTGATTGTTTATCTCGTATTAGTGAGTAAAGCTTCGTGAGTGTAACCTTTAGTTAATTGTTTAAATATATTAATATTAAATTCGAATCACCACGTGTTTGCTCTTTCATACAGTTCATTACCGCGTCTATTAACGGAAGTGTTCGCGAGGGCACGAAGCGACTAGGTGTTAATAGCAAGTCCAATATTGATTAATCGATTAATTCATAATTAAAGCAAGAATTCCTATCGTTTCTGGGGGCAAGGTGTTGTGCGTCATTTGCACTTATCACGAAGGAAACATC